GGGTTTGGGGTTTTAGGGTCCAGGGTTTAGGGGTTAGGGTCTAGGGTTTAGGGTCTAGGGTTTAGGGATTAGGGTTTGGGGTTTAGGGTTTTGGGTCTAGGGTCTAGGGTCGGGCACTCCCCAGCAGGAGAACCTGAGCTGTTTCGAACCCCAGGTTCCCCTTATGGCGGGACCAGATAGGGTTCAGGGTTCAGGGTTTAGGGTTTAGGGTTTAGGGTTTAGGGTTTAGGGTTTAGGGTTTAGGGTTTATGGTTTAGGGTTTAGGGTTTAGGGTTTAAGGTTTAGGGTCAGAAATGAAGCTTGGGATACGATGGACTCCCTGCAAGGAGCCCTCTGCTCGGAAGTGCCCCCACGTGAGGACAGGAAGCCCGACTTAGGACCTGTAAATCGGACTCAGGGTTTAGGGTTTAAGGTTTTGGGGTTTAGGGTTTAGGGTTTAGGGTTTAGGGTTTAGGGTTTAGGGTTTAGGGTTTAGGGTTTAAGGTTTAAGGTTTAGGGGTAACGACCCAAACTTGGCAACAGTAGCAATTGCAGTACTTTACGCGGCTGAACCTAATCAATATGCAAACTCTTCGGTGTTTAACTGTTTAGCGCTTGGTTGACCTGATAGCGAGTGATGCTACAAATAGGTTATATGGACTAAAATTGGATGCGATCCATTCAGAACGCCTGTGAAACCTTAATATAGCCTGCGAAACCATCACTGAAGACCTCTATACACCACAAAACCCTAAGCCCTAAACCCTAAACCCTAAACCCTAAACCCTAAACCCTAAACCCTAAACCCTAAACCCTAACCCTGCACCCTAAACCCTAAACCGTAAACCCACCCTTATTCAGGCCTCTAAGCCCACCCTGAGCCCACCTTATAATCCCTAGACTTTAAACCCTAAGCCCTAAAACCCGTAAACTCTAAACCCAAGGCCGTTCCGGGACCCTAAAGAACCTACCCCTTTAGGTTCCTTATTATGATTTCTTAGTCCTTAAAGAAGTGAGTTTTTCGGTTCTTAAAGTAAAGCCTAAACCCGAAGCCCCTAAACCGGCTGAAAGCATGCGCAAAAGACCCACCTTCTCAAGGAACTAAATAGAAGTACCTTTCAGCCTTCAATTCTGGGGCCCTGAATATTCCTTTATTCCTTAATTAAGAATATAAGCAACTTTAAGCCTTCAATTATGGGGGCCTTAGTATACTTATATTCCTTCATTAAGGGGTGTTGGGAACCCTAAACCCTAAACCCTAAACCCTAAACCCTAAACCCTAAACCCTAAACCCTAAACCCTAAACCCTAAACATTCCTTCATTAAGGGGTGTTGGGATCTCCGGGTCTTTTTCGGCTACAGGTCGGCCCTGGGGAGCCCCGCGCGCTGCACGGCGCCATCGAAGGAGGGCACCGCTGCTGCGGATTCCTGGCGACATGGGCTGGCTTTCCTTTAAAGGGCGCTTAAAGGGACCCCTTGGGGTTAGGGTTTAGGGGTTAGGGTTTAGGGATTTAGGGTTTAGGGTTTAGGGTTAGGTGGGGAGTCTAGGGTATATAAGGCTTCTATAAGGCTTCCATAAGGTATATAGACCTTCTATAAGGCTCCTATAACGGTAACTACCCACCTGAAAATGTCCTAGACATGGGCGGGCTTTCTTTTAAAGGGCGGCTCGTACGTTTTATAAGGGCTAATGAACCCTAAACCCTAAACCTTAAACCCTAAATCCTAAAACCTAAACAACCCTAAACCTTAAACCCCTAAGCGCTAAACCTTTCGATGGCGGTAAGAAGAGATTTGGAGGAGTTTTATGGGGCTTCCTATCTTTGGAGGCCTGGGGCTCTCAGGGGGTGGTTTAGGGTTTAGGGTTTAGGGTTTAGGGTTTAGGGTTTAGGGTTTAGGGTTTAGGGTTTAGGGTTTAGGGTTTTGAGGATTTCGAGAGGGGCTTTCTAGGGTTCTGTGGGGTTCTATAAGGTAGGGGCCTTAACAATTAGAATGGGGTTTCGGGCCCAAAATACTAGAATTATACTAGGGAGCCCCCCCCCAAAAAAAAAATAGCATAGTGTGACATAGGTGATTATCTGGGCTCCTATATTGTGTACGGCTTTATGCGGGCCAGAGGATTTGGGATTCGAGTTTCAGAAGAGCCTAAACCCTAAACCCTAAACCCTAAACCCTAAACCGGAAGCTTTGCTCGGGTTCTGCAGGAGTTCAAAGAGGTTTGGGATTTGAGGCTTGGGCCCGGGCTGCGGATCTTTCGGGGATTTTAGGGTTTAGGGTTTAGGGTTTAGGGTTTAGGGTTTAGGGTTTAGGGCTTAGGGTTTAGGGTTTAGGGTGGGTCGATGACTGGGTCTAGGGGTTTTGGGTTTAGGATCTCAGGGCTTAGGGTTTTTGGGATTTTGGGGTTTGGGAATGAGGGTTTAGAGTTAACTGTCTAAGGTTTAGGGTTTGGGGATCTGGTCTGTCAGACCAACAAGACTTGAAACGAAATCGCACCTGCACCGCTCGAACCTTGGCGCGTTGAGGCTTTTGCATGACCCCAAGCCCTGAAGACTGAACAGCATGGGCAACAAAAGAACCTCTGCCGAGAAGCGGTCTCAGTGGATCACATGGGCTTAGGGTTTAGGGTTTCGTGCTAGCTCCCATACCCTCACACCCGTAAACCCCGAAAGCCCCCTGTACAACCGTACAACCCTGCATAGACCAATGGAAAACCTGCTTGGGCCCGCAGAAACACCTCGACACCCCTACTCCCCTCTGAAAGAAAGCGCAACGAGGATCTTTGCGGCAGATTCTTACCCTAAACCCAAAACCCTAAACCGTAAACCCTGAATCCTAAACCCTGAACCCTAGACCCTAAACCCTAAGCCCTGAACCCTGAACCCTAAACCCTAAGCCCTAAAACCTGAACCCTGAACCAAACCCCGAACTCTAAATCAAACAAACCTCCATACCCCAAGTCAAATCCCTGAACCCAGGGTTACCCAGAGAGCCAACACCCCTTAATTAAGGAATAGACCTTAAGTTATGGGGGCCGTAACATTATGGCTTAAGGTATACCCTAAACCCTAAACCCTAAACCTTAAGTATTCCTTAAGTAAGGGGTAGTGGGCTCAGCGGGCTCTCTGGGTACCCCGAATCCCGACCGTCCTCGAAGTAGGCGGTGTGAAAGTTGATGCCAAGCTGGCCCTTGTGCAGGGGCTGGGGTTGAGACTTTAGGGTTTAGGGTTTAGGGTTTAGGGTTTAGGGATTTTGGGGTTTAGGGTGAGAGTGCAAAGTTTATGTGCCTTTTTTACGAACTTTGCTTGATTGCTGTAGATGTCACACTATAAACCTCACCGTGATGGATGGTGAAATGGCTATCACGAACCAGCAGCCTCTCATGATATACTTCGGCTGTCATGAACGAGACCCTAAACCCTAAACCCTAAACACTAAACCCTAAACACTAAACCCTAAACCCTAAACCCCATTGATCTTTGTGCCTGGGTCCGTAAGACCACAAAAGCTTCAGAGCTTCGGGACCTGAAGGCCGCGAAACCCACACAACAACATCCCGAAATCCTAACACCGCCATAATAGCAGCAATAACCAGAATAGGTTTTAGGGTTTAGGGCTTAGGGTTTAGGGTTCAGGGTACCAACAACAATAGCAGTAATTAGAAGAATACCAACAGTACTAGAAAAACACAAATAACATTAAAACAGAGGAGGAAAGAACAAAACAAAGAAGGTGCCAGGCTTCGAATGGGTTGAACGGTTAGGATCTCGGGAACCCTGAGATCCGCGACTTCATGAGGCCTGTGAGGTGCAAGCCCTAATTTAGGGTTTAGGGTTTTAGGGTTTTGGGTTTTAGGGCTTAGGGCCCGGACCCCCCAAGTATGTAGAAGACTGGCCGTTTAGAGGTTTTGGGCCATTCGTCTACCTACTTTTGGCGGTTTGAGTAAACCGCAAACCCAAAAAAATCGTGGTGCAGGGCTTCATTCACGGGTACCCGGAGTGCTGGTTTAAGCGTGGACGGGTTTACGGGCTTCGGAGTTTAGGGGTTTTTTGGGGTCTGGGGGTTAACACTTGGGTAGGGGGGGGGGCTTTTGGGTTTAGGGTTATTGGCTAAGGGTTTGGGTTTAGGGTTTAGGGTTTAGGGTTAAGGGTTTAGGGTTTAGGTTAAGGGTTTAGGGTTACTGGGTTAAGGGTTTTGGGTTTAGGGTTTAGGGTTTTGATCCTTGAAGCCAAAATCCCTGGAACCCGACACTACGCCTTGAAACCCCAAATTCCCACACTGGTCCCTAAACGCCTAAACTGAAACACCAGAAGCCCTGATCCCTATGCCGCACCCTAAACCCGAAACCCTGAAGCCCTCTGTGCCTAAACTGAAAACACCTGGCTTGGTGCTTAGGGTTTTAGGGCTTAGGGCTTAGGATTTAGGGCTTTGGGTTTCGGGTTTAGGGCTGTGGGTTTAGGGTTTAGGGTTTTAGGGCTTAGGGTTCAGTCTTTAGGCCTTAGGGCTTTGGGTTTAGGGTTTAGGGTTTAGGGCTTTGGGTTTAGGGTTTAGGGTTTAGGGCTTTGGGTTTAGTCTTTGGGGTTTAGGGCTTAGGGCTTAGGGTTTAGTCTTCAGGGTTTAGGCTTAGACACGCCCCTTTCTGTAAGCCCAGTGACCTGGTCGAACTTCACCTCGACCTTCCCAGCATGGCTGGCTTACGAGAAGTGGGGATGGGTTTAGGGTCTAGGGTTTACGGTTTTAGGGTTTTGGGTTTAGGGTTTAGGATTTAGGGTGTAGGGTCTCTGTATGGGTAGTTCTCTAACTTAGGATCCCTGTTCGGGTCCGTTTTGCAAGGCTGCTGCACTCTTCTCTCTGGGCACCTAAACCCTAAACCCTAAACCCTAAACCCTAAACCCTAAACCGTAGCCTAAGTTAGAGAGCTCCAGGAGGGTTCGATGAATCAGGGGCCTTGGCTTCCCGTCCGCCCGTGAGGATCCTCACAGGGGTGCTTTAAGTGCGTTGTAAGAAAGCCTCTCAGGGCTCACTATAAGTTTAGGGGTTAGGGTGTAGGGTTTAGGGGTAGATTGGATCCTCTGGCAGTTCCGTTTACGGCTTCTGCAACGGCCTTTTGAGGGTTCTGTCAGGGGATGCGCAAGAGATCCCTTGCTGTTCGAGGTGGCTCCGAAGCAAACGCTATGACGGCAAGTTCAAGACTCTCGTCTCCGCCATCGAGGAGCGACACAAAAAACCCTAATAATCACGACGCCGCACACGAAAAAGTTTCCAGCGCCACAAGCCGCAAACCAAGAACCTAACTTCCGCAAGGCTCAATCCAAAATCCAGAGAGCCTGTGATTAGTGCTCCCTTTTGGAAATCACCGTAGAGGAAGCTTAAACCCGCCTCCATCCTTGAATTTCCGGAAAATACATGGAAATCCCTACTGGGATCAAGAGTCCAGATCCCTGGAACCCCAAACCTATGGCGGCCTCAAGCCCTTGTAATCCCACCAAGAGAGCTTACAACAGACTGCCTCCCGTTCATGAAAAATACAACGAAACCCCTTCACCGTCCCTCCTGAGCCCTATACACTAACCCTAAAGCCTAAACCCTAAACCCTAAACGAAACTGAACACCCCCTGCCTCTGCAGCATCCGCTGCACCTGAGCAGACGAGGTCCATCGACTCGCAGAACCCGCAGGTGCCTCCTTCATCGCTCCGGCGCTCCAGGTTTCCCTAAGCCCTTCAGATCCTACCCTGTTTAGGGCTCCTTATTATGGCTTCCATACATAAGTCCTTAAAGAGGTAGGTTCTTGAGGCTCTAGGTTTCCCTAAGCCCTTCAGATCCGACCTTTTCATTAAAGGAAACTACAGGTGGGGAGTTTAGGGTCTATAGGGCTTCTATAAGGCTTCTATAAGGTTTAAAGGCCTTCTATAAGGCTCCTATAACGGTAGCTACCCACCTGAAAAGGGCTCCTTATTAGGGTTTCCTTACATAAGTCCTTAAAGAGGTAGGTTCTTGAGGCTCTAGGTTTGGGGTTCAGAGCGCAGGTTGAGGACGTAGGGTTGAGGGTGTGGGGTTTACGGAATGGGGTTTAGGATTTCGGGTTTCGGGCTTTTAGGGGTTAGGGTCTTCAGGGTTTCACGAGGTAGGGTTGGGGTGTCGTCCGAAGTTTATTTAGGTTTCAGTATCGCTATGAGGGATTCGGGTTTGGCCTTTCGTGCTTTGTGTCTGAGGCTCTTCGGTTTAAGTCTGTTTTTGGCATAAGGTGCTAGGGCTCAGGAGGGTCTAGGGTTTAGGGTTTAGGATTTTTGGCTTAAGGTGCTAGGGCTCAGTTCGTCTTTGGTTTAGGGTTTAGGGTTTAGGGTCTAGGGTCTAGGGTTTAGGGTTTAGGGCTCAGGTCGTCTCTGGTTTTGGGGCTTCCAGCTTCGCAGCGTCTCAGAAACTTCGCCGCGAAGAGATCAGGACATCCGGATGTTCTGAGCGTCAGCTGACGACGTTCGTCGGCCGATGCGCAATTGACATAGTCAGATACTTCAGAAAGGTATTCCCTAAACCCTACACCCTAAACCCTAAGCCCTAAACCCTAAACCCTAAACCCTAAACCTCGGATTACAGAAAAGCTCTGATGCCTCGGAGATCCTTCGGTGGTTCAGGCTTGTAGTATGCGAAATTTAGGTTTAGGGCATAAGGAACCGGGAACCCTATAATTCAGGGTCACCACAACCCTAAACCCTAAACCAAGACCCTAAACCCGAAACCTTCAACCTAAACCCTAAACCCGAAATCCTAAACCCTCAAACCCCGGATCCCTAAATCGTTACACCCAAACGGAAACCCTCAACCCTACCCCCTGAACCCCAAATTCTGCACACTGAACCCCTAAACCCAAAAAAAGACCCTCATAGAGCCCTTGAAGAACCCTAAGGGTCCATGTACCAAAAAAGTATATACTTTGGCCTTCAAAGTCGTCGTTATAGCGGTCCTTTGGGGGTCAAGGTATATACTATTTGGGCACATGGACCCTTAGAGGAACACCCTAAACCCTAAACCCTAAACCCTAAACTCCAAACCCTAAACCGAATAAACCCTAAACTAAACCCTAAACCCTTAAACCCAAAAACCTAAACCCTAAGCACTAAACCCTTGAACCCTTAAACCCTAAGTGGGTCCTGACATCATGTCGTCCCCACGCTCTACAGGTCGGAAAGCCACTCGCAAGAGCGGCTGCTCCATGTTCACCTGGAGCTTGGGCCTAATGTGGGGGGGGCCTGTATAAACGGTTTAGGGTCTAGGGTTAGGGTTTAGGGTTTAGGGTTTAGGGTTTAGGGCCTTAATAATCAGAATAGGGTTTTGGGGCCGATTCTACTATAATTATAATAAGGAACCCCCAAAACCCTAGTCTAATTTATTAAGGCCCCTACAGTAGGGTTTTGGGCTTTAGGTTCAGGGTTTAGGGGTAAGTTGTTAGGGTTTGGGGCTTATGGTTTAGGTTTAAGGCTTTGGGTTAGGGTTTCGGGTCTGGGGCCTCGGGTTTATGAGCTAAGGCTCTGCAACGACATGTTCAAGGTTCTATAACGCTGTACCCCGCATCTCTCCCTGAAACCCTAAACTCAGAAACCCTGAACCCCAAACCCTGAACCCCTATACCCTGAACCCTAAACCCTAAACCCAGAAATCCAGAAACACTAAACCCTAAACCTAGAAACCTTAAACCCTAAACCTCGAAATCCAGAAACCCTAAACCTTAAAGCTCTAAAGCCCGAAAGCGCGCAAGGCTGAAAGCCCCGAAGCCCTGAAACCCTGGGCTCTAAACTCTGGACCACCTCGCGCCAATAGAGGGGCCTTAGTAATTAGAACAGGGCTTTGGGGGTTCCTTTAAAGGGATCCCTTAAAGGGTTCTATAAGGGCTACTATCAGGGTTCAGGGCTAGGGGCCTGAATAAGGACCAGGAATTGTTTTGGGAATTCTGTTTTTCCTTTTTGGTGTTTTATTTTTTAGGGTTTGGGGCTTAGTTCTGTATTTACTGTGAAATACTCCATTTTCTTTTTTAAATGGAAAGCCTGCATTTTTCTATTTTTCACAAATTTTCTATATTTTCGTAGGAAAACTTGAATTTTCTGTATTTTCATAGGAAAATCTGGATTTTGTTTTAATTTCACAGACAAAATCTTAATTTTCTCTATATTTTAATAGGGAACCTTAATTTTCTCTATTTTCTTTTGTAAGAAATAACTATTATCTGGCTATC